CAAGACTCTTTAAGGAACCAAACAAAGAGAGAGAAATGTTGCCTAGGCTATGCAAAGACTTGCAGGGGCCAGATGAATGACTACTCTAAATGATGTCACCCAGCCAGAAGCAGTCCAGAAATGCTATCTGGACTCCACAGGGAGAACTCTTGCATCAGGGAAAACAGGACCCACAAAGCATGCCTGTTGTGAGTCTCTACTTCCGTGGGTGGGATGGAGGAGAGTGGCCTGTCAGAGGAGACAAAAGGAAGACTTGAGGGGGTGATGAACTTGTTCAGGTGCTGGCTCATCACCACTGTTGCTCTGTCACCCCCTGGAGATTGTAGTCAGAAAATGTAAGCTAAGCCTTCCACATGGATTATCTATCTCATTTAATCCTTACAACAACCTAGGAAGAAGGCGCTGTTTTTCTTCTCATCTCAGACTTAGATATGTTCAGTACTTTGCCCAAGGTCACAGGGCTAGTAAGCCAATGTACTGAATCTTTGTATCCTATTGATTTGACTAATAAAATAGAATCTGTTCTTCTATATAGGGAGTCATGGTCCCAATCTAGAATGAAATCAGACTTAAGTAGATATTTTACATTATCTACAATAAAAAGGAAAACAATATTTTTTCTAGTAGAATAAGGTAAATTACAAAATAGAAATTACTGAATGAGCAATATTGGAGATGTCCTATCATGCTTTTGAGATCTCTCAGACTCACAGCTCATAGCTCACATGCTCTGTGTCCCAAGCCGTGATCCGATGAGTAACTGAGAGTCAGGAGTCCTTCCTAAGTTGTCCTGTCGCTCTCGGTGGATTGAGGCTTGGAGGAGGAGGTGACTTGGTGACAACACACAATGGAGAGAAACTGTCCAAAACTCTTATTATGATAGATGTTAACCACACTTCTCTGCTTTATGTGTTTTTCATGGACACATGGAGAAAACTCCATAGTGTATATAGCAAGACTTCCCTGTGTTCTAGTATGTGTGTATGAGTGTAAGAGAGAGAGATTGTACTTTAAAACGGTGAGTCTCGGTGGGAGGAGAAACAGCATTCATTCAGCAGTGTTTACAGAGCACCTCCTCTGCTGTAGGTATTGTCTTTGGTGCTAGGAATACAGTTTTCAACAAAATGTTCAAGGTCTGTGCCATCTAAGAGCTTACATTCTACAGTCTCAAGTTAAGGATTGAGGAATGTAAGTGGTATATAATTTGAGTGCATTTTAAAGAAAGCCCTTAGTTCTCTCTTAAAACCTATTATAGCAAGTAAAATTGGCCCAGTCCTTCTGGCTGGTAGGAAAATATGCAGAAGGTAGAATAAAAGTGAAGTAAAGGGTTGGTAATCACTACTTAAAACTATGAGCTTCCCCCTGATTTTCCAGAGGTTTGACAAACTAATAAGTTGATGTTGCCTTTGCAAGTGAAACAATTAATATCAAAATTTGGGAGCTCAACTGACAGTAATTATGTTGGAAAATGTAATTTTGCTTGCATAGTAGAGGTAGGATTATTTCAAGATCTCATTAATGTGCTGTTCATCAACAAAGACCAGTGTAACCTTTCTCTTATTAGATTAGTGCAGGGTCCTGATGCAAAAGGCTGTTGGAATAATTCTCAGTCTTTTGTTCTAAGAAAATAATTAAATACTGTCTAGAAGTCTAGATATGGAAATTGAAGTCATTGAAGACAGAAAAACAGTGTAGCCACTCATTCTGAAATCAACATAACCTCCTTTCATTTCTGCAAGTTTCATTCCTTTATCTCCTTAGCAAATTTTATTGTCTGCTGTGTGCCAGGCCGTGCTAGATGTTGGAGCTATAGTAGAAATCAAAACGGAATACACTCTTCGTCTTCATGGTGCTTGCTATGTATTGCTGGGTCTCTCCTCTGCATTTCAGGGGCATACATCTGCTCTGTGTCTGCTCAGCTCTGCACGAGCTTAAAGAATCAGCAGGCTACTAGAAAGATGCATGACCTGCAACTATAGGTGGAAACCCTCCAGCGCAGGGCTTCCCAGGTGTGTTCGACTGAACACTAGTTATGTGAGTTGTTCACTTATTCTTCTAAACTAGGGTTTCGTGGTCCAAGAAGTTTGGCACATGCTGCTTATTTACCCACCTCTTGGAGTTCCACAAGTACCTTGCTATAATTCAGGCTTTGAGCAGCCCTGTGATAATGAGACCTGTTTCCTTTTTCAATCCCAGCATTCCCAGACTTACTGACCATAAGGCTATTTTAACCCCTGTCACAAAAGTCTCCTTTGGAAGCAGGCTTCTTCGGCTAGAGGAAGGCAGCTCATTCTCCACTGAGACGTGTTGAGACCCTGAGACGTGCTGCTCTTGATCCGCCATCCAGAAAGAGGGTGTAAGGAGCATAAGGCAACGCAGTTAGAGTCCTCATCTCTTAGGCTGAAATCTCGTCCTCATTCTACTTTCCTTCAAATAATTGGGGCTTCTGAACCATTTCTCTACTATTATTGATATAATTTATTTCCAGTACAATTAGAAGTGTAGCTATTGGGGATACAAGTAATTGAACCTGAGACACATTCCTGAGAAAAGGAAGCCTTGAGAGGGCCACTGGCATATTTTTAAAAGTTGACATAACGGGGCCGGCCCGGTGGCGCAGTGGTTAAGTTTACATGTTCCGTTTAAGTGGCCCGGGGTGGCCAGTTAGGATCCCGGGTGTGGACATGGCACCACTTGGCACACCGTGCTGTGGTAGGTGTCCCACACATAAAGTAGAGGAAGATGGGCATGGATGTTAGCTCAGGGCCAATCTTCCTCAGCGAAAAAGAGGAGGATTGGCAGCAGTTAGCTCAGGGCTAATCTTCCTCAAAAAAAAAAAAAAAAAATTTGACATGACAAGCGGCCAACCCAGTGGCATAATGCTTAAGTTCACATGCTCTGCTTTGGTGGCCCAGGGTTCATGGGTTTTGATCCCTGGCATGGACCTACACGCCACTCATCAAGCCATGCTGTCGCAGCATCCCACATACAAAATAGAAGAAGATTGGCAGAGATGTTAGCTCAGTAACAATCTTCCTCAAGCAAGGAGAGGAAGATTGGCAACAGATGTTAGCTTAGGGCCAATCTTCCTCACCACAAAAAAAAAAGACACGACAAAAATCAATCTTGGATGTCCATAATTCCATTCAAAAAAGAAGATATCCATTATAAATAAATTTTTGTTCTTTTCATCTTAATTATGTAATTCCTTTTGCTTTCTAACAATAAGAAAGTTGTGGTACCACTTTGTAGTTTTAAATCAGTGTATAAAGTGGGCTTATCCCCTTAGCACATGACAGTGCCTCCTACAACCAGTAGCTATCATGTACTTATCACAGCTTGGGAAGGCCCAAGAAAATAATATATAAAAAAGTATTTTGCAAACTGTTAGTGCTGCATCTAAGGAATAATTATGGTTTTGGTTTTTTTCACTAATGATCATGGGACTTCTTAACAATCTGTGTGTCAGAAATTGCCCTGCTATGACCAAGCTCTAACACCAAATGGATTTATACATCAGGATCACAGTATTCTGACTTAAAGGCCAAGAGAGGAAGGCACTGAGACCAGGGTGTCAGGCCCTCGGAGGCACCCCTCAGTCCCTCAGTTTTCTCCTCAGTCATCTAGGGGCAGTAGCACCCACTCTGTATGACGGATTGAGTGAGATAATCTGTGTGAACGTAGAGCATAGGAAATGTACATCATGCTCTGTACCCTTCCAAAGCATACAGCCCCAAACAGGGGAAATCTTACCTGGATGACAGACAGTTAAGTCTTTTCACAGGGCTATTTGTTAAGACATAATTGTGTTTACAGCCTGAGGTTCATTTATGAGTCATTTAAACAAACATTTACCAGAAATAACAAAGGAAACAAGAAAATGAACCTTCATTCAGCACCTTTATAGTTTACGGGGTGCACACAGACATCTCTTTTCCTTATTCTAACAAACCTGAGAGGTGGTTTTGCTCTCCCCATGTTACACAGGCAGGAAATTGAATGAGAATCAGTAACTTGTCCAGGGCTGCCCAGGGAGAGCTGGACGTGATGCGAGTAGGCCTCGAAGGAAGGCTCACTGTTCACGTCCTGTGCCCATGCTCTCACGCCGCCTGTTCAGAACATCGCTCTCGTTTTCTCCTTCCTCTCCCACATGCTTCTACCTTTGCCTTCTCCTTCTCAGTAAATGGCATCATCATGTCTCAGGCCAATAACCTAAGAGTCGTACTCAGTGTCTCTCTTTTCTTCATATTCCATATCCAGTTAATCAGCAATTCCTGTCAGATTTGCCCTCAAGGATCCATCAAATCCAAGGACTTCTCACCACCAGCCGCCCACCATCCTGCTCCAAGCCACATAATTTCTCTCTAAGAATCCTTCTGCCTTCCCCTGGTGCCACTCTTACTCATCCTTACTCCCTCCATCCCCATTCTTCCCCCCATTCCATTCTTCACATAGATGCTAGAATGATCTTTTAGGGTGCAAAGAAATCATGTAATTCTTCCATTCTGGATGCTCCAGGATGAATTATATCATGTCTGGAATTTACTTCAGAATAACCTGGGGGGAATGGCCCTGTGAAGTCATACAAGATGGGCTCCCATCCACCTCTCCATCCTTACGCCTGCCCCTCACCCCACTGCTCACTTCAACCACACTTCCTACTTCAGGGCCTTGCTGCTTGTGCTCCCTTCTGCCTGTGTGTTTATCCCCAGATCTTCACGTGTCTGGCTCGCTCGCTCACTCACTCTAGGCCTTTGCTGAAATAGTACCTCTTTAGACCTGCATTCCTTACCATGCTTTGGTTTCCTGCATATACTTGTCACTACATGAAAATGTATTATGTCTTTAACTTACTGTTTTCTTTCTTCCCCACTAGAAAATAAGTGTCATGAGAGTAAAAGCTGTGTCTTTTTCACCACTATATTCTCAGTGCCTAGAAGATAATAGGCACACAGTTATTTTTTGGATAAATACATAGCTATGCAAACCCCTTTTCTCAGTTATGGAGAGACCCCTGGTTGGGAAGAGGAAAGCCTTAGACTCGCTTGGTGGCACCCACAGTCTGTCGCCTTATGCACCTCATCACCGTCCGTCGCTGCTGCTTGTGAGCCTGCTCTTGTTCTTCACAGACCCCAAATGGGGTAACAGGTGAGAGGATTCCAGGGGAGGGGTTAGGTGAGCACATGTTCGTGAGTCCTTTGAAAACAGTGAGATGTTACAGTGGGAGAGAAAGCCTGTACTTGACGTCAGGGCAGCGCTGGTAGGGAATTGATACAAAGCCGTTTCCTCACTGTTTCTCTGTAGCTCTACCCCTGCGGCTTGGCAGAGACTCGACTCTGGCAACGTTAGAATCGTAAGCCTGGGCCCTTTCATTCTTTCACTCAAACCCTAACCTAAAGAACAACTTGCCCAGGCCATATGGTTCCCAAAATTATGTGAAATCATTCTTACGCATCCTAATTTTTGCTAAGAACCAACTAATATTAAAATATCTAGGGGCATCTCACTTAGACAGGGCTACCATAATGATAGGAAAGTCTTCTCTTGATTATTTTCAGTCTTGTTTTGTTTCTCAGAACATGCCAGACTGCGTTCGCATAAATGAATAACACTGTCCTTAGTCACACCAGATCTAACCTTAGTGCTGTTTGGAATGAGAAAGCCTCATCCTCTGCAGTTGCCAGATTGATTTAAAGGAACTGACCCTCCTGTCTTCAACACTGTGAACCTTGGCTGATCAGGACTCCTTTCAGAGATTCATACTCTTTGCTTTCTTCTCGCACTGGCCTCTCAGCCTCTGTGGCGTCTTAGTAGTTCCATCTCCTTCTCCCCTTACCTCAGCTAAGGAGCCATCTTGCTTACCAGTGTGGGCGCTCGGCACTCCAAAACGTTTCCTTCTCAGTAGAAGCTGACAGCTAATGCAGTGAAAGTTCCAGTTGCTGTAAGTTGTGTTGACACCTGTAGCATAGATCCTACAGCAATGCACTTCCTTACCACACAGGTAAAACCTAGTCATTCACGCAAAAGAAGGACCAGGAGATGGTTTCCTCGTCAAGAGGAAGGACTGGGCTGTTCTGAGAGCCCAACCTGCTGCTCCCTCTGTTCCCAGGTTGAGGGGAGGGAGGTATGGGTGGGAGCTGTTCCCAGCTTCTGGAGACAACTTGATTGTGCACCAAGAGGAGTTTCAGTAGAGGAGAGTGTGGCTCTTGAGTGTGGGGCTGAGAGAATTCTGCCTTCCCGCCTCCACTTGAGGCCCTTAGGTTCTTCCTGGACTGAGTCAGAGTACAAATGTTGGGTCTATGTCAAGATAATGAATGGGGAAAAAAAGAACTGGTTTCCTGTCATAGTCATAATAATAATTAGTAAAAGTATAGAAGAATCTGCTTACTGAATCCTTAGGAAGAGCCTAGTAAGTGCTAAGCACTCGTCACAGGAGTGCTGGCTTGGGCCTTGAGGCTGTGTGTGAGGGTGATCTCTCCCTTGCTTGAGAGGTATGCTCGTGTTAGCTCAGCTTGGAGAAGTTCTTGTGAGAATGGTTGGCTCAGCGAAGAGCTCAGGGAGCAGTCTTGGCCTCCTCACAGGCCTCGTGGAAGCATCATTCCAGATCCAGAGCCACACTGATGGCCAGGGTCCACACTGCCTTTTCAGCAGTGACTTCCGGTGCTGTCCCCCCAGTGCTCGGCTGTGGTGGAGCCTCAGCTGTCCATCTGCTCTTTAACCCGGTCAAGTCCTCCTTTTCCTTCAAGCTCCAACTTATTACCCTCTTCTTCCATGAATCCTTCTCTGATCCTCTAGTTCATTTTCGGACTTACCACTTTCTTCTCTAGTTTATAATTATGTATATGCTCTATCACGCCGGCCACCTGTGAGCTCCTGAGTGGCAACATCTGTACTCAATTTTTCTTTATCTCAGTAACCTGTAGCAGGTCACTTATACTATTTGCTAACTCCATACTGAGCAACAGTTCACCATGTTTCAGACTTGGAAAGTGACTGACTAGGACTCATGAACCCTTGGCCATTCCTTAGATAATAGTGATCATGGCCGTAATAGCTAACACTGACTCAGGGCTTACTGTGTGCCAGATATGTGCCCAGATTTCATTGAATTCTTACAACAACGCCATAGGGATAGAGGCTGTTAGCACCCCCATTTTCCAGATGAGGAAAATTAAACATGGAAAGATTAAATTTGCCGAAGATCATGCAGCCAGTGAATGGTAGAGAGCCAGGGTTTGAACCGAGGCCATCTGGCTGCAGAGTCTCTTCACCATTGTAGGCTTGCACTAAAATAAATAAAATATTTAGTAAATGAATAAAAGTTCTCCCATGCACATCTGCTCTAAAGAGGAGCTTTAACTGTTCAAGACTCGTCTCTTTGATGTTTTCATTGAAATCTACCCACATGCCCTGTCTGCTCTCGTTGAGTCTTCTGAAAAGAGCAGGGATGCAGCAGGAGAGCTTGGAGGGAGGCGTGTGTGCTTGCTCTCAGGACTGACAGAAGAGACCCTTGGGCGGTGCTCTCTCTCTGTCCTCAGCAAGTGACAGGCTGCAGAGGTGCTGGCGTAACAGTGGCTACCCTTTCAGCTTCAGACTCGTGTGCCTTGTGCATGATGAGCCCGGAGAACAGCGGCGTGTCTGAGCCAGCACTAGTACACGCTGCTGTCTAGAAAAGCAGAGTGCCCACTCAAGTGTGTCATCCTGAGATGGTCCCCAAAATAAACAGACTTGTGCAGACTCCTGCTTCCACAGCTGAGGCCTGGCTGTTTCCTCTTTCTTCTTTTAACGTAATCTTTCTAGAGGCTGTTTCTCTTCCTCCCTGCCTTTGAGTGATAGGGCTGACATGTGGGAAGAGGCAGTGATCTCCTCCTTCAAAGGTTATGTCTCTATCAGACCTGAATGTTGTTTAAAATTCAGTCCTTTCCTCTGGAGCTCTGAGGCAAGGTGAGGAATTCTCGGGCCATACTTCTGACTCCCTGAGGACTGGAAGAAGAAGGGTGAGCTCTTGCCCTGATCAGCCAGCATCAGTCAACAAACACGTCTTTACTGAGCCTCAGCCAGGTGCTTAGGCTTGTGATAGGATGGAATCTTGGCCTGCGAATTGCTTGCAACCAAGGCGAAATGGAGGAGGGTAGTCAAGATTATAATATAGAGAATAGTCAGCCAAGAATAAGATAATACATAATTAAACCAAATGTGTGTTTCAAACTCTGGCAGTTTTAAGAGTTCTCAGAATCAGTGTGATGCACTGGTTAAAGAATATGGGCTTTAGGGTCAGAAGTTCTGGGTCTGAACTCCAGCCTTATCACCTACTACCTATATAACCTTAGCCCGACTATTCAGACTCCCTAGGCCTTGGTTTTCTCATCTGCAAAATGTAGATGATAATAGTGTCTGAAATAAGGTTACTGTGAGGATTAATGAGATGATTCATTCAGTGAGTCAGCAAAAAAAAAAAATCTATTGAGTGTCATCTTTGTGTAAGTCACTCTTCTTCTAAGGGCATGGGGTGTGCATATGCACTCAGATTTCAGTGGCAACAACAACAAACATTTATTTCTCTCAGATGATGCACGTTCACTATGGATCAGCATTAGCTCTGCTCCCTTTTCCTGCATTCTAAGACCAAGACAACAGAGCAGCCCCATGTGGGACATGCTGGCAGAGGGGAAAGAGCAGTGGCAAAACTGTGCAGTCCACCCCAGGAGAGCAGAGGATCACTGCTGAGGAGGAGTGGGAAGTGATCCAGCTGGAGAGGCAAGTCCTTAAGGCCCACAAGATTAGAACATTGTTGCAGTGATTCAGCTGACAGGTCTTGGCATTCTAGACTTGGATAAGAACGATAGCAATGGGGAGAGAAGAATGGGTTGGGGAAACATGCGTGGGGGATGGAGAGGACTTAGTGTGTGGCTGTCTTTGAGGAATTAAGGAGTAAGATGGAGCTAAATCGGGAGCACTGGCTTCCAAGCAGAGCTCTGCCACTACTTTGTTAGGTGTCTCAGACAAGGCATTGAACCTCTCTGAGCTTGAGATGGAACATGTATCAAGGAGAGGCCTAAGTTTGATGTGGCCCTGGAGGTTCCTTCCAGGTCTGTTCCTCTATGGCTTTCAGACTCCGAGGTCTTTGTCTTAGAGACCACAGACTACTGGGGGTGGTGCTACTGGGAAGAAAGATTGGTTTGGAGAGAAAGATTTATAATAACTCCGTTTTGCATTTGTCTCAGCCCATTGGGTTGTGTGCCTTTTCTCTTTCCCTTTGCTCATAGCCCTCACTTTTTCCTTGGCTTTGTTGTGAATCCGAAAAGGAGACACTTTATTTTTTGTCTCCAAAATGGGATCTTTGGGAACACACAGGGCCTTGAGGCCAAGGGACTAAAGTAGCCTTGTGCGCAATGGTTCTCCAGTATCTTTTGGTATCCTGGCATCTTTATACACTTCTTCTAGCATATTCCACATTATAACATCTTCACTGAGACGTCAGCCTGGGAGTCTGTCTGGGGAGAAACGTTCTTGTCCTCCACCCCCATGTATTCACAGCATCAGAATTGCTGCCAGCTCTTCCTCCTCTCAAGAGCATGCTTCTGCCTCTTTTATCCTTTACTCCTTTCCTTGGGAAGAGGAGTAGTTTGTCTCGTTGGCGAGACTCTGGCAGTCATTTGGCCTCTTCTCTGTTATGCGGGGTTAATGGATTAACAATCGCCGCACTGAGAGACCACATGGCCATTTCTTTCTCTCTTTTCTCTTGCTTTCTTGGACCTCTTGGTTCAGGTGGAATGGGCCTTCCTTGCTCTTTCTGCTCTCTCCATTGCAGTAAGCAGATGAGGAAGGAATTGCCTCTGTTGGACTCAAATAAGTCTTTGTTCCAACTTCTCCATCACTGACTAGATGAGTAAATTAAGTCACTGCTTCCCTGAGATTCAGATAACTTTAATTTAGTGGGACAGGTGGCAGGAGTCACCTACTGTGGCCTCAGACACCAGTCTATCTCAGTCAGCACTGTACTTTGTTAATTGGGTGTCCATTAACAAACGAAGTACCTCGATCACAGGTTAGCTCCTCAGTCTCTGCTCTCCTTGTTTGAAATTGGAGAATACAGTGAGTAAGTGACACTGTGACCTTCATCAGAACTCTTTCGACATCACTTCACA